CTTTTATTTTAGAGAACCAGTGAAATTCAGAAAGGAGAAAACAGTCTCAACATTATAAAGGAAACTTCTTGCTAACCCTGATATGTCCCCTTTATACTACTTTTTGAACCTTCCTTATCAGATTTGGGAATCAGTTTCAAATTTGTAAAGACTGATTAATTTAATAAAGAGATGTACAATTCATTTCATTTAGTGTCAGAACACATATACCTAGCTAACCAGGATTCGGGAACATTATTTTAGCATTGAAGACCAGAGAGCCTTTCTCCCTTTGATATTCTATCAAAATCATACATTCATTTCTAAGAGGTTAAATCGAGGGGTACAAAAAAATGGACTGTTTTAGCAAATTTATATACCAAAGATTGTATTTATCATATTTAGACTATTATTGTTTGATGTTGTCCTATGAGCTGTACAATGGGGTGTTTGTTCTAAAGGCTATTTTATATTATATATTTCATTATTTCAAAGATTTCCACAAGCATCGAAAAGAATCAGCTATTCATCCCCCCCCTCCCCGCCCCATATTTCTCCTTTTTTAAATTCTGTGCTTCACGGTAGTGCAGCCGTGATTACTTTAAAGCCAGAATGAGCACTTCACGACATATGATTTAGTAAAACCCATCTTTTCAGTCTCCATTATTAAGTCTCATTTTTAAACTAGGTATCTATTCACTCCTGGGCTCTTAAAGGCATTTATTTCCTAGACTCTGCTATCAGGTTAGGTTGTTCATGAATAGGAGTGGAAAGCATCCAGATACCACCAGAAATCACAATACTCTATGCTTTGAAACAGGGTGGTTCGTCTTCAGGTCAGACCACTATCTATAAACAAACATGCCCTGTGTTAGAAACCTGACAAGTTCACCTGTGAACTATACCAAGCACACACTGGCTGTAGAGGAAGAACGCTTGCTTCTTCCTCCTCTGCCATTTCTCCTGTTTCTCAATGATACTGTCTGGATATATCTGAAGTGCAGCCAGGGGAATAAGGACTATGAATTTGATGCATATTCCCTTTTCAGCCCACAGGACATCTCTCCCCAACGAGAAGAGGGTGGACGTGGAGCTGAGCAGCTTAGTCTAACCCAGGAAAGCTTGATTAAGCCCTTATGTAGCCAATTTTATGGTATTTTAAATGTATTATAATCAAATGGGCTTTTGTGATCCAATAGGACCACCTTAGCACCCTTTATCATAAATCCTTCTATTAGAAATGTGTCTCAAGGCCCAAATACTACCAATAAAACAAATGTCTGAAACACCACCCATTTGTATGCCAGAAATTTCCTGTTCCACGGAAGGGCTACATATCAGTCTGGATTGCTGGAGAATTTTAACTTTACATTCAGATAACTTGGTTTGATACCAGTATTTGTCACCTAATACAGATCCAGGTTAGAATGGCATTTCGATCACTTTAAAATCCTGCTAAATGCTAAATTCTGCATGGTAGAAATAGTTCAATTTCTGTATCATGTATAAATATAAAGATTGCTACTTTAATAGAAGGCAAAAATCTTCTATGAATTATTTAAAATATGGAAGTAGTATTACTGAACAACAGAGAGTGGATCCATGAAAAGTTTGGATACTCTGAATTTATAGGCTCTTTGGGGATGAGGTAGAGGACAGTGAGATATTTTGGCAGCTGGGAAAGGGCAGAACCATCTGGGATGGACAGGATTACACTGGTGCTGCATAATATCCGGTAGGGTGTCTGGGGCAAAGTTAGCCAAAACATAGCGAGATTGTACAGGGATTTAGAGGGAGCTGGGATAGTCATATTCTTAATGAATGGAGAAAAAGTGACTCAGGAAAGTTAATGCTGGTGACTATCAGCAGGTGGCTGGTGATGTTTGGCTTGGATTGTGAAAAGGCATTCAGACCGAGATGGGCTGAGAGAAAGGGAGGAGAGCGAGCATGTAGAGTGAGGCACTTGGAGGAAGAGAAAGCAGGTGGGCAAGGGTGGACTGGATGCAGACAGCAGTTCCCGCAATGGGAAACGTTCCTTTATATTAGGGGTACAATGCTGAAGACAGTCACACGCTAGGAATCACATTCTTTGAAAGCCTTTTCTTTCCTTCCTCGCCGGGCTCTGCCTTGACATATACCTCTACCTCTATAATCCATTTCACATCAGCTATTTTTGTTCTAGGTCTCACCTGAGCAGACACTGCTAACTAAGCCAAATGAGTATGGAAATAAGCTCCACATACAAGGGGCATTTAACTTCTGTTGACTGAGATGAATACATTCATGCTACAGTACTGCTTTGAGGAAAGACTACTTTGATTCTCAGTCTCCAGAGG